GCTGCACGCTGCATGGATGTCGTCTTCAGAGAACTATCCACGATGACTATAAGATCTCTTCTGATTAGTTGTAGCCAAATTAGCCCCAATCATATTATATGTATAGCTGGGGTTATTTTTCCTAATGTGCATTACTTTACATTTATCCAAATTAAATTTCATTTGCCATTTCGTTGCCCAGTCACTTAGTTTGGTGAGATCTTTTTGAAGTTCTTCACGGTCTGCTTTGGTCTTAACTAACCTTGAGCAGTTTAGTATCGTCTGCAAACTTTGCCACCTCACTGTTTACCCCTTTCTCCAGATCATTTATGAATAAGTTGAATAGGATTGGTCCTAGGACTGACTCTTGGGGAACACCACTAGTTACACCTCTCCGTTCTGAAAATGTACCATTTATTCCTACTCTTGTTTCCTGTCTTTTAACCAGTTCTCAGTCCATGAAAGGATCTTCCCTCTAATCCCATGACAACTTAATTTACATAAGAGCCTTTGGTGAGGGACCTTGTCAAAGGCATTCTGGAAATCTAAGTACACTATATCCACTGGATCCCCCTCGTCCACATGTTTGTTGACTCCTTCAGAGAACTCTAATAGATTAATAAGACATGATTTCCCCTTACAGAAACCATGTTGATTTTTGCCCAACAATTTATGTTCTTCTATGTGTCTGACAATTTTATTTTTTACTATTGTTTCAACCAATTTGCCCAGTACTGATGTTAGACTTACCAGTCTGTAATTGCTGGGATAGCCTCTAGAGCCCTTTTAAAATACTGGCATTACATTAGCTATCTTCCCATCATTGGATACAGAAGCTGATTTAAAGGATAGTTGTTAGTTTGCAATTTCACATTTGAGTTCTTTCAGAAGTCTTGGGTGAATGTCATGTGGGCCCAGTGACTTGTTACTGTTAAGTTTATCAATTAATTCCAAAACCTCCTCTAATGACACTTCAATCTGTGACAAGTCCTCAGATTTGTCACCTACACAGGATGGGTCAGGTTTGGGAATCTCCCTAACATGCTTAGCCGTGAAGACTGAAGCAAATAATTCATTTAATTTCTCTGCAATTACTTCATCTTTAAGTGCTTCTTTTGTATCTCGATCGTCCGGGGCCCCACTGGTTGTTTAGCCGGCTTCCTGCTTTTGATGTACTTAAACATTTTATTACCTTTTGAGTTTTTGGCTAGCTGTTCTTCAAACTCCTTTTTGGCTTTTCTTATTACATTTTTACACTTAATTTGTCAGTGTTTATGCTTCTTTCTATTTACCTCACTAGGATTTGACTTCCAGTTTTTAAAAGATGTCTTTATCTCTCACTGCTTCTTTTACACGGTTAAGCCATGGTGAATCATAGAATCATAGAGCCGGAAAAGACCTCAGAAGGTCATCAAGTCCAGTCCCCTGCTCTAGGCAGGACCAATCCCAACTAAATCAACCCAGCCAGGGCTTTGTCAAGACGAGACTTAAACATCTCTAGGGATGGAGACTCCACTACTTCCCTAGGTAACCCATTCCAGTGCTTCACCACTGTCCTAGTGAAATAGTTTTTCCTAATATCCAACCTGGACCTCTCCCACCTCAATGTGAGACCATTGCTCCTTGTTCTGCCATCTGTCACCACTGAGAACAGCCTTTCTCAATCCACTTTGGAAGCTCACTTCAGGAAGTTGAAGGCTATCAAATCCCACCTCACTCTTCACTTCTGCAGACTAAACAGTCCCAACTCCCTAAGCTGCTCTTCATAGGTCATAAGCTCCAGCCCCCTAATCGTTTTGGTCGCCCTCTGCTGGACCCTCTCCAATGTGTCCACATCCTTTTTGTAGTGGGGGGCCCAGAACTGGACACAATACTCCAGATGTGGCCTCACCAGAGCCGAATAAAGGGGAATAATCACATGTCTGAATCTGCTGGCAATGCTCCTCCTTATTGAAACCTAATATGCCTTTTGCCTTCTAGGCTACAAAGACACACTGTTGACTCCTATCCAGCTTCTCATCCACTGTAATCCCTAAGTCCTTTTCTGCAGAACTGCTACTTAACCAGTCAGTCCCCAGTCTGTAACTATGCTTGGGATTCTTCTGTCCCAAGTGCAGGACTCTGCACGTGTCCTTGTTGAACCTCATCAAATTTCTTGTGGCCCAATCCTCTAATTTGTCTAAGTCACTCTGGACCCTATCTCTGCCCTCAAGCATATCTACCTCTCCCCCTAGCTTAGTGTCATCTGCAAACTTGCAATCCACCCCCTCATCTAGGTCATTAATGAAGATATTGAACAAAACGGGTCCTAGAACCAAACCTTGGGGCACTGCGCTAGAAACCGGCCATCATTCTGACAGCGAGCGGTTGATCACTACCCGCTGGGCCCAGCCTTCTAGCCAGCTTTCTATCATCTTACCATCCATTTATCCAATCCATATTCCCTTAACTTGCTGGCAAGAATATTGTGGGAGACCGTATCAAAAGCCTTGCTAAAGTCAAGGTATATCACATCCACTGACTTTCCCATGTCCACAGAGCCAGTTACCTCATCATAGAAGCTAATCAGATTGGTCAGGCACGACTTGCTCTTTGTGAATCCATGCTGACTATTCCTAATCACTTTTCTCTCTTCCAAGTGCCTCAAAATGGATTCCTTAAGGATCCCTTCCATGATTTTTCCAGGAACCGAGGTAAGACTGACCGGCCTATAGTTCCCTGGATTGTCCTTCTTCCCTTTTTTGAAGATGGGCACTACATTTGCCTTTTTCCAATCATCCAGGATTTCTCCTGATCTCCACGACTTGTCAAAGATAATGGCCAAAGGCTCCTCAATGACATTTGCCAACGACCTCAGTACCCTCAGATACATTAAATCCGAACACATGGATTTGTATACGTTTAGCTTTTCTAAGTAGTTCCTAACCTGTTCTTTACCCACCAAGGGCTGTCAATCTTCATCCCTTCTTGCATCACTATAGCCTCTCTGTGCATCTGGAAGACGTTTAGTCACTTGGATATGGCTCGAGCAGTGAAACTTGCTTTGTATGAGCCAAGGCTGGCCCTACCATGATGTGAACCAAGGTGGCTGCCTAAGATGCCAGACTGTAGGGGGGCATCACTAGGACCGAGTTCGTAGGAAATTGTCTGCTGCTGGTGCATATGTATTCTCTCCTCTCTAGATGCACAGAGATGGTGGAGTGCTGTGCTGGAGGAAGGAGGGCACGAGACACGGCAGGCAGGAAGGAGAAAAGGTGGCTTGGGGGCATCATTTCAGCTCCCCACCTCAAGTGCCAAAATGTTGTGGGCCGAGCACTACTCTTGATACATGGTTTATGAGAGCTACTCAAAAGTGCAGAATATCAGCAGCAAACCAATGGGAATTCTGTTGACTCTATTTTTCTGGGACCTAGCAAAGAGACAGTGTATCCGTTGGGCATCAAGATTATAAATAAAAGGTGAAAAGTCTGCACAAGGTCATCTCTAGCTTTTTTTTGCTTGCCAAGGCAATATTACTCTACTCACTAGTGATGTTAAAAAGTAGTTAATTAGGTACATGTGTAACTGTTAAACATCTTAGCAGTTATAGCTGCAAGCTCAGCAGTATGACATTTTTACTGCAGAGGCTACAGCGCAGCCTGCTCCCTGGGAATGGGGCCGGCAGCCAATGTGCTCCGAGAGTCAGCGCCTGACTGTTGACTCCATTACTGTGAAGCCATCTGTACTGTGGGTTCTGCAGTATAAGCTCAATACTGCAGAGCCTGCAGTGCACAGCAACAGCCAGCTGCCCAAGAGCTTGTGTGTGCTGGAAGCCAGCTTTTAAACTGGCTCTTAAAGCATACTGGCTCCTGCTTTCCAGCCCCCTTCCTGGGGAGGCAGCTGCCAGTCCCTGCTGCCTCTGATACAGTGGCAGCTAGCTCCCTGGGAGTGGGGCTCGAAGCCAGTATGTAATAGTTATGGTAACCGATGAGGTCATGCTTTTTGGTTAACCGTTTAAATGGTTACACTATTACATTCCTACTACACACTTAGTATTTAGTGGACAAGTGCATTTTTCAAGTCCTGACTATAAGAAGTTGAGGAACTTGTAGTTTATTGGGAATATATTCAGTTGACCTGAATGGGTTTCTAGTTGAAATGTTGGTGGCCTACCATGTATTATGGCAAGATTTCAATGATACGATACTTATGAAAGGCTACTTGGAGTTGGTTTTGGTTTTATTTCATGTGTCCTTTTGAGAGTCCTTTCTGCTGCTGTTTCTTTGCTTCATAACCATTAGCAGATGGAATGAACATTTGCATGGCTGTTGCTGTATTTTTTTTTCTGGTAAAGTTTAAAAATATGCAGAAGCACATGAACAGTGTTGTGATATTCCAGCTCTGCTGGCTTCAAATGCTTTGCAACTAGTAGAGTCTTCTGGCACCATAAAAATTAACATATTCATTTAAGTGTAAGTTTTTGTGGGATAGAACCCATTTCTCCAGATCCATGAAATGGGTTCAGTTTGGCAGGGGTGTGTGTGTGTGTGTGTGTGTGTGTGTGTGTTACATTAATACACAGGATCATTATGTTACTTAGATAACCATGTAACTATTAAAAATTCTAGTGGTTATACGCTGTGTCCTCTGCTGTATGAAGTTTATACTGCAGAGCCTGCAGTGCAGCCAGCTCCCTGGGATTGCCACAGGATGTCTCCTGTTTTTTGCTGAAACAGACTAAGAAGGCTACTCCTCAATTTGCATCTGCTTTATGTAATGACCAAACAATCATGTGTACTCCTTAACTAAAAGTGAATTTGAACAAAGATGATTATTTGAGGTAAACTTGTCTTAAACTACTTGTTAATGTCAACCACATTTTAGGTGGAGAGCTTCACTTCCTTCAGATTGGAGGAACCTGTGATGATATAGATGAAGCTGATATACTTGTGGATGGATCCCTTTCTAAAGGGGTTGAACAAGCATCAGAAGGCATGAAGCCCTTATCTAACCCGTCTAGTCCAGGCATTACAGGTAAAACATTCACATTTAAACATAACAAAATACATTAACCATATGGAGGTATTTTCTTGTTTTTAGTACATCAGGTGGTCATCAGTAGTCCACATGGTTTCATAACGATGGTTGCTAATTCAATATTCATCCCAATACACTTTATCTTTGTACTAGCAGATGTACTCGATGTTGCTCAGGTCTGTAACTAAAGGAATTTATTTTTTTTTGGAAAAATAAAAATATACATGGGTTATTTCATTATTGTATTTTTCAAAAAGCAAGTAAAACGAAGGTTGGAGTGCGAGTTTGGGGCTGAGGGAGGGGCAGGGTTAGGGTGACTAATGGCAGAGGGTGGGAAAGTGTGGGAGGGTACTCAGGGCAGGAGGAGGAGAAGTCAAAGCATGTTGGAGGTACAGGACTCAGCATGGGGTTGGGAGGTGTAGGGGGGTGCCTACTGGGCCTACCCATGGTGTCAAGGGCAATGCTCCAACGGCAGTGATTCCCAGGGGGCCAGGGCAGTGCTCCCCTGCCAGCAGACGAACCCAGTTGCTCTTCCCTGTGGCCTGCAAGCTATCTGGTAGAGACCGGGGTCCAGAGGCTGCTGCCCTTTCCAGTGGCCAACCCCCTTGTCCCCCCCTCTCCTGCAGGCTGTCTGGGAGGGCGAGTGTCCAGGGCCTCCTCCAGCACCCTCCATCCCCCTTTCCCCCGTGACCTGCAGGGGATCAAGGCTCCAGGGGCTGTCCCCCTACAGCTGTCCTCCCTGCAGCTGTCCAGGGGGCTCAGGCTCTGGGGGTTGCTCCTGGCCTCCAGTGGCAATCCTGCATGGCCTCCCCCACAGCCTGCAGGCTAGACTCTGGAGGATATGCTCTTCTCCAGTGCCCTCCCACTACCTGCTGGCTTTCCACAGGGGAGGGTGTAGGCTCCAGGTTTGGGGCAGAGGGCACCTTCTTGGTGTGCTGGTAGACAAGATGGCAGAGCTCCAGCCTTGCTGACTACTCTTTTGGTGCTACAGCTGCCCCAGTGGCCACTTTCAATATTGCATCCCTCACTTCTCTGTGCCCTTCCCTTGCACATTGCTGCTCTCTCTGCACCCAGACATTCCATGTTATGAGAAATAGTCCTAGCACTTCCCATTTTCCAGGCACAGCTAAACCCTGACCTTACTTTGTTAGGGGAGGAGGAAGCTGCATTCCAAATATAATGATCTTAGCTCTTACTGGTTAGGAGAAGTTTGTGAACAAGTGGTCAAACAGACAGGCACACTCTAAAGTGAGTGAGTGAAAAGTGGGGTGGAATATAAATGTGGAAAAGACAGACTTTTATCACTGCCAAAGCTAACCTTGCTATACTGCTTAAATAAGCTTATCAACTCATTTTGTTGAATTAGTATCATGCATTCAATATGTAACTGTTGTCTTGACAGGATTTATGATGCAGCTACTATATACTACAGTCTAACAAACAAAATTTTAAACATGGTAGAAAAATCATATATTGTATCCTGAACACGAGAGTTGACTTGGGACCCAGTGTTTCTTATATTTTTAGAAGCCTTTTTGTGGTGTGAAAGAATATTAAATTATGATATTTATTAAGCAAAAAAAAAGAGAGTGAAGCTTATTTATTGTATACAGCTCTCTATATCATTGGTTAATCTTGGATTTCCAGAATACTCTAATGCTATCTTTCTGGGAGTTTTTAAAAGCATTTTAAATTTGTAAACTGAAGATACTTTCATGTGGAATTACTAATCTGCTGAACAAGAAACTCAGTCATTTTTAGTCATTTTTCTGAAAGAACTGGACCTGAATAAATGGAAGGTGCCATTCCTTCAATTAGGGTTACTAACATAGCTTCTGCAGTTTCTTTTGATTAGTTTCCTCTTTCTGTAAACGTTTCTCCCACCTTTATTGGGACTTAACGTTGTTGCAGTTATTAGCTTCGTTGAAATACTGAGCTGCTAGCTGGAAAAATTCACTTCTTCCCCCAGTGGAAAGGAAGCAGCTGACTTTCTCCCTCTCCAACAATCCAGTTCTCCTCAAACATAATATCTAACTCTTGTCTTCATTGCATTAATTAGTTAAAATTAATACAGTTGATTTATTTCACTGTAGCCTAGCTTGAGTGACAGCAACAGAATACTGTACACTGGAACTGTACAGTGATATGAATAGCTTCACAGCATGACTAGATTTGCTTGCTCGAGCTCTAGCCCGTACCTATCTCATACAAGTCAAACCATACACAAGGGACAGACCACTGAGCTCGAGTTTAAAGTTTCACTTAAATTAGTGGTTCTTGCTTCTTTTTTCACTCAGGCTAATACAGTGAAGACAAGCCCATAGTTTGTGGACAGTTGTACAAGTTGATAACTACCTGGATTCTTGCTTTCTCATATATCTTTATTCATTATATGTTTAGCCAGTCAAGTTAAACTTGGGTGTCTCACTGCCACAATGGGGTTGACATAGATCCCAAATTATTGTTTTAGTAAAACCATTCTTACAAATGAGAGGAACTAGAATCCTGGTATCACTTACGTTGGCTCTAGTGTTAATAAGAGTTAAAGTAACAGCTAACGTTAGTTACAAAACACGAAGATTGAGTACACAGGAAACAAATCTGTTGTTTAAGTTGAAGTCTTTGTACAATTGCTTTTCATAGTAGGGCCACCCTATAAGCATGTTTGCTGTTGGAGGTTTTTAGAACTAGGGTAATCCTGCATCATCTGTTGATGTATGTATGATTTAGGGATGTTAAAATATGTTTGGGTAAATGTGTACCCACTGAAATTTTCAGCGCGTACACATTTACATATGGTGGGGGGAGCTGGCTACCTGTGAATACCAGCGCCTGCCTGCCTGCCTTCCCTTCTCCACTCTGCTGCCCTTGTATGAGAGGCAGCAGTGCAGGGGGTGAGCAGGCAGCTCCATAGGAGCCAGTGCTCACCAGGAGTCAGCTTTTAAAAGATGGCTCCCTGTGAGCATCAGCCCCCATCCTCCACCCCAATCCCACCCACTGCTGTTGCCTATCCAAAAAATTAGGATACACCAATTTCACCGAGCACAGAATAAAAAAGGCTAAGTCATACTAGGGATGTGAATGTGTATTTGAGTACACAGTTAGTTGATGAGCCTGGTTACACACAGCCTCCCCCCATTCCCACTGCCTCTGTATCAAGGCTGCAGGGATGGGAAGGGAGCTGGTGTTCGCTGGGAGCCAGCTTAAAAACCAGCTTCTGGCAAACACTGGCTCACACTCTCCTCCCTGCCCCCCACTGCTGCCTCTGTGAGAGGCAGCGAGCGGTGGAGGGCCGGGGGGAGGTGGCAGGGGGCTCCGTACACACACAGCAGTCCTGCCACCCCTCCCACTACTGCTGCCTCTGATACAGAGGTGGTGGTGGGGGAATTGTGTGTAACTAAGAGGGTTAACCGACGAGCCCAGGCTCATTGGTTAACTGTGTTCTCGGATACATGTTCATGGCCCTAGTATTGTTTTGCCTTGTTTTTTTTTTTTTTTTTTTTTTTTTTTTTAAATCCTGTGCTAGGTGAAATGGGTATATATCCATTTTTTTCATGGATGGTGATCTTGCCATGATCATCCAGTGCTTGGTCTCCTCAAGATTACTCTACAGCGATAATTACGGTTGAAGAGGAATTTTACTCAGGTGCAGTCTCTCGATGATTTAATCTCACATAGAGAACAGGGATCCTGTGTAGCATACTCTAGCTTCTAATCAGTTTCTTGTTGGCGTTCAAGGCTTTGTAAGGTCACATAACTTGAACAGTTGGGTTCCTGGCTGTCTGGCAGTACCTATTCCCGTTTGGTGCATTGTCACAGTTCAAAGGGACGCTTTAAGCTACCATTCCTTGCTTTAGGAGGCGGAGACAGGGTATTATTAAGGAGTGTTCTCCCTTACTCGATCAGACATCTCTGGTTTGTTATCCCTTATTGTCTAGTAAAATGTAATAGATTTTTGAGAGGTGGTATGTGAAATATAAAGTTGGATTATGGGTCATAACAATTTGCTGGAATTGTTTTTGTTTCGGAGTAGAGTATTAGTGTATTTTGTGTTTTGTGTAGTCCAGTTGTAAGAGCACAGAATACATAAGGCTGAGAGACGCACTAAAATAGTTGCAACCTTTTAAAACTTGCATTTACCTTAAAATAAGGTGGATATTTGGTACCTTTACCTTCTTTTCCTCATTAAGTCTTTTTAAAAATCAAATTGGGTTATGATATGAAAGTCCAGAAGACAATTTGTTGCGCAAGTTATAGGTGAATTGGTTCACCCGTTTCAGTTATTAAAGTTTAGGTGTGTGACGTTTCCATCTTTTCCTTAAATTATATGGTCTTGCCTAAGTTTTACTCCCTTTCTGAGAATTGCTTTTTTTAATCTTTAATTGTTCTACTGCACTTTAGTTAGTTTTAAAATTCAACACCATTCATATTCAAAAAATATCAAGTGTGTCTGGGAAAGTGGAGTGGTGGGGGTGGGGGACAAAATCAGGCTTGGAGGCTGGATCTGGCCCACCAAGGATTTTGCTCTGGCCTTCCCAGCTGATTAGCAGAGTGTGCATACTTACAGCCTGCAGTGTGTATTCAGCTGCCGTACCCCCATCTTGCTCCATCCTGCTGTCTGGAGAGAGTGGGGAGGAGAAGGAGATGAGGGGAGTGTTGAAGACAAAGTGTTCCCCTGCTTCTGTACCCAATCTCTTGCAGAGCAGGGGAGCTGCTTTAGTGTCACGTGTGGATGGTAAGTGACTCAGAAGAGTGCACAGTGAAGGTGAAGGAAGACAATAGAGCAGGATAGATTTCCCTTACAGACGGACAGCATGGCTTCGCTCAGAAACTTGCCCAGCAACAGCCAGCGCGCACAAACTGTCACCCACACCTCCCAGTCTGTTCCATATACACAGTTACTGTCACATACACACTGCCATGCTTGCTCGCACTCGCGCTCTCTCTCTCTCTCTCTCTCTCTTGCCCAGAGCCCCACCACTTCCAGGGGCCTGAATCTGGCTTGCAATCACGTGTCAAAATTCATTAGCCCCTCCCCTCCCCTATTTCCCCCCGTCCCCCTCCGGCAAAAATGATTGCCCACCCTTGCATTACATGGCTTCACAATCTGCAAATCTCTGCAAACAGCATTTGGCACTGAGTAGTCTCTGTTTCCATGTGCAACCTGTTTGATCCCAGAACTAACATTCAGTGAGCGTGGGCGACATGGGGTGCAACTCAAACATGAAAAGGGGCTGACTAGGGACAGGACATTAGCCCTGCGGGGCAAGGGTGACTATGGCAGTGACCTAACAAGGCCTTCTGCAGCACATCAGCCTATTGGTTAAAGGGTTGGGAGGCATTGACCTCACAGAGTGACCATGACAACAGCCAGGTAGGACAGGCTGCAGGCCAGAGGCAATTTCAGAGACCCTTGTGGCTTAGCTGCAGGGGAGTCTCCTTCATGAAGTCTACCCTTGAGGACTGAGAGGATTCAGGGTAACGAACATGAGTACAAGGAGGAGCATCTTTGGAGTGTTCTCCTTTCCCACAACTAATTGAGCTAGGAGACAGACATCTCTGTGGAGAAGGTAATAGCCTGTGCGATGTTTGGTGCTGCTGTAGTCTGATTCACCTGGGTGCTGGCCAAATGCAAGGCATGGGAAACATTAGGGATGTGAAAATGCATTTATTTAGCTAAACATGTAACTGCTGAAAATGTAAGCAGTTAGACGTTTACGTTTTGGGGGAGAGGCACCACCCCACTGCTGCCTCTATATCAAAGGCAGCAGTGTGTGGGAGGGGGGCAGGTGACTCCTGCCTTCCTGCCCCCTGCCCCCGCTGATGCCTCTGATACAGAGGCAGCAGCATGCGTGGTGGGGGAGGGCTTGCATGGAACTGTGCAGGCTCATCAATTAACTGTGTACACAGGTACACATTCATGTCGTTAGGAAATACTAAGTTAAATTGGGAGAAATATTTTCTCACCTAGGCCTTTGTCCATTATCACTGGGGACATTGGAATCTGTCTCTTTCGTTTCCTTTTTCTCCATACGTTCCTGTCCCTCAGAATCTTAGTGCTGATTGGATGAGCTGGGGAGCCAACGACAGGGAGGAGACTGAGGACTTTGTTCACTTTAAGGTCCAGCAAATGAACCAGGGTTTCTGCTTCTCTGCTTTGGTTGACCCTGAGCAGTTCCTGACTTTCTCTGTCAGTTGGGTGTAATAATCTTCTCCTACCTGCCCAATGGCTAGGGAGGTTGGGGATCTGTGAGGATCTGTGTGAGTGGCACTAACATACATAATATGAGGTGTCCTATCATGTGGAGACTTTACAAATGATGATGGGGTGCAGTAGAGCCCTGTTCTTCCAACCTTCCACTGTGCAGCTTTCCATGTAACCCAACAATTTGCTACATCTGCCTTTCTGTGCAGGGGAAAAGGAGAACCTTTGTGCATGCCTTGCCCCAGCACAATCATTCAGCTCCCATTGGCTGTCCCTGCTCCCATCACAATCTCTCAGCTCCCATTTGCTGGAACCAGCCACAGGGAGCTGAGATTGTGCTGGGGACAAGGACAGATTCTTCTCTCCCCCCACCTGTGTGGTGCAGAGAGGAACATGGAGCTCTGGGGCTATGGCTGAGAACCACCTAGGTAAGTACCTTCCGGCCAGAGCCTGCTTCTGGCTCCCCACCTCTTGCCTCTTTCCACTCCCTGCTCCAAGACACTACCCAATACCACTCTACCCACTGTCCCCAGGTCACAGCTCCCTCCCAGATCCTGCACCCACCCCTTTATCCTTCCCCCAGGCCAGAATCCTTTCCTGCACCCCTTCCCCTCCCAGACCCTGCACCCCATTCCCACAACTTAGCCCCCCTACTTCATCCAAATTCCCTCTTCACACCCTATACCATACCCTCTCCTGTACATCAGTACTGCACCCTGAGCAGTGGGGCTTTGGCTTTTTGTCCTGGGCGTCATCAAGCGGCGAGGAGTCCTGTGGCACCTTATAGACTAACTGAAGTGTAGGAGCATAAGCTTTCGTGGGCAAAGACCCACTTCGTCAGATGCATGTCTAATCAAGTCTAATGTCAACCCTGCTTACTGGACTCCCGAAACCTGATCTAAATCTCCATGATAGCTCAGCCGAAAAACGTTTCTTTGGCTGTGGACTTTAAAGTTCTAATGTGAACTGAGTTGGCATGTAGAATTTTATCTCAGCTGCCATTGATTGAAACAGTTGGGTATGCAAAGTGTGAGGTAATGGTTTGTGGAACATGTTTCTTGCTAATAGTTCAAAATGTTTGAAAGTTAACATTAGGTTAGAAATAAACTGATGGTGGACAGGGCAGAGAAGTGTTTTGCCCTATTTCCATTCCTGCCATTGTTGTTAATTTTTGAAACATCTGTGTTCATTTTACTTTAGATACAGTTTAATTACATGACTTTGGGAAAATATTAAACAGCTTGAATCTTGGTTCTATAACAAGTTAAAAAGTCTAGCTTAGGGAAAAGAGAAGGTTCTCAGTATTTTTGTTGAAATTGCCTTAATTTTCATAGTCAGTGGAAACTTAATTTTGAACTTGCTTCTGCTGAAATCTTAACATATTATAGAATTTAGTGTTGTCCTGAGAAGCTGTTAAGTTAGACTTTGTCGATTGTGTTAAAAATACACATGGTTCTGTCCAGTGTTCCCTCTAAGCTGCGTGGCGGCACAGCCCTGAGACTCTGACTGGGTGGGTCTGGTTAATCATCTGTGAAGCTGCGCTGCCCCACATTTTAGAGGGAATACTGGTCCTATCTATAAAATGAGTTTTCCACTCTGTTCCTATGGGATAGGAATATATATTCAGTTGTCATTCTTGGTAGTCTCAAATCTGCTGCACCAAGAATGATCGATCTGAACTATATACTTAGCTACAAGAAGGAATTTCTTCTAAGCACAATTGAGACACATTAATGGATAATGTGAGGAACCTTTTTTGCATTGTGCTTGTCCTGTGGGCTTTCTGAAAGCTGAAATTAAAATATTAATTGTGAAGTTTACCTTTTACCCCTTTTGGTCTCTCTGAACATCCACTTTAGATTTCAAGCCTCTGTCCACTGTTTCTTAGAGTGGAATCACAAGATTATCCCATTCGCAGCCTGGAGGCTGTCTTGTGCTCCCCTAGTATTAACTGTTTACCATAGCAAGTTAAATGTAGGCTGAGCCTACAGGTCAGTGGTCCTTGTAATCTGTGTGCTTGGGCTGGCACCCAGGCAATTTTCAAATGCCACTCAGCTGGTTAGCGGAGTGCCTGCAGCTGGCAGCATGTGTTCCTGTTGTTGGTGCACATCTGCACAGCCTCTGTGCACATAACACTATTGGGCATAGGGACAAAAAAAATTACTGAACATTTCTCTGCAGTTTTGTTCCCTCTGTGTCCATAACAGTGGTAACTAAGCATTGTCCTTACATCAGTTTTATTTATTTAGAACAAAACCATTTTAGAGAAACATTGTATAGTATAACAACAGACTGTATGTGTCTAGCTTTCCCTAAAACTTACTATTCCCTGGATGTGGGAAGGCCTAATTCCTTTGGACTCACCTTGCAGTGTCGCTGAACTTATCTACTCCTGCCCCCACCCCCCACCCTTTGTCCACTGCCAGCACTTCAACTCTTCAGTGTTCTTTTGCTCTCCCAAGTTCCCAGCCTATCAAAACAAGCTTGCACCTTTCTTGGAGATAGGATCCTGGAAGCTAACATACTGGCACATTGTCTTTCAGGTGTGTGCTGGAGTGTCTTATCTACCTCCTGTGGTATTGTTTTCTTGTTAGCACTTTCTACAGTCCCCTAGAAATACAGATTATAATAATTCTATAGGAAATTCTAATTACCCACCATAGTTATACAATAACTTGACCTCACCGTTATAACATTATTATACTTCAGTGTTTTTAGATTATGGCATCAGTTAGGAATCCATCACAACATGGAATGGAGAGTTTTTGTCAAAGTGGGTCAGGAGATATATTAAAAAGAAACACACTCAACTAAAGTGGAAAAATCAAAAGTTTATGAACAAGTTTGCTGTTAGGAACGCTGACTTCAAAACTAGCTGACTTTTCATGTGTTTTCCGAAAAATCTGTATCCAAACACCTTTTTAATGGTGATTTAGTAGTTGGGATAATTTTGGAATTTGGTCTAGAATGTTTTGGAGAGGAAGGTATATGTAATAAATATATTGGTTTTTCTCTTCAACAAATATTAGGTGTCGATCTTTTGGTGGACCAACCTTTTTCCCTTGAAACCTTGACATCCTTGGTGGAATTAACCCGTTTTGAGACTCTGACCCCACGATTTTCAGCCACTGTACCTCCGTGCTGGGTGGAAGTCCAACAGGAACAACAGCAAAGACGGCATCCTCAACATTTACATCAGCAGCACCATGGAGATGCAGCTCAGCATACACGGACTTGGAAGCTGCAGACAGATAGGTAAGTAGGGCTCAAGAAAGAGGGTTGTGTGTGAGTGAGACTAATTTAAGTCACTACTTCATCTACTATCAACACGAGCTTCAATGAAGGTATCAACTGGTCAACACACTACAAAGGCAATTTCCTCTACTTTTGAAATTTGCATTGACAGGTTAAAAGATGTGAATGGGACACATTCAGTCTGACTCAATTAGCGTCATTAACATTAGTCCTACAATTGACAGGTAACTGTTTGCTGTTACTTATACTCCGGATTCTGTAACTTTGATGCCAACTCATCGGCTGAAGTGAGTTTTACCCACGAAATTCATGCTATATTTGTTAGTCTCTAAGGTGCCACAGGATAGTCGCTGTCTGTGCAACTATTTAAAAAACAAGTGCATAAATTAAAAACAAATGAACTTTTAATGTAACTCTTTATTCTTGATCTTTTGCATTGGCTCCTTTGGTTGAGGTTTCTGTTTTTGTTTCATTGCACCCTGAGACAGTTAGAAAAGTTCAGTTTTGAGTAGCTTGTGAATTCCTAGGTGTGTTAAATATCATCATTGTTTTCCTCTTTCGTAAGTGTAAAGATACCTCCATCAGAGATGCATTTTTCCTAAATAGATTTTGGGTATTTCTAAACCAAGTCTATTAAGGAATGCTAATTAAAGCCTAAAGCAAGTGTATTAAAATCAGGAAGCCAGACACCATTGTGAATATTTTTATATTAAAAATAACACTTCATTTTCACTTTTTTAAAAATAAAAATAAAAATTTCATTTAAAATTTAACTACGGTGCTGTGTCCCCTGCTCACTGTGCTTGCCAACCCCCTTTGGCAGAGGGTAGGCAACCGTGGCTCTGCCACTGGGGAGTGCTGGGCTGTGGCCGCGCCAGCCAAGGTTTACTCCCCCTTCCACCAGCCCAAGCCCCTTCTCCCTCTCCTGCTCTTAGCCAGCCAAGGCCCCATCTCTGCCTCCCCACACCCTATCACATGGGTTTTGCTGCCGGTGCGACAGATCAGCTGTTTTTAAAACAGCTGCCCACCACGTGGTGACTGTCAGAGCTTCAGCCAGCCACTATGTGGCAGCCAAGGAGGTCAGGGTGTACTCCAATCCCAACCCC